AAGTGCGCCTCGCTGCCCCGCTCCCTTGCTCTGTCTCCGCATCTTGCTTCCAGGTTACTCTCTCCCTGTCGTCCCTCCCTCGCTCCTCCCCTATACCGCATGGCTGGGACCCCTGTCCAATCGGGTGGAGCCAGCTGGGGCTCCCTGGGCACTGTCGGCTTACAGGTCCCGGCCACTGGACTCAGGGCTCCCTGACAGCTCCGGGCATGCCGGGTCTGAGCCCAGCCTCCCCTCTACGGCGTGGCCGGGCCTGCCTGGCTTCGCTCCCTTCTGCCTGGGCTCCGGGATGGCTGGCTCTGGACAGCCTGGCTCCTGGGGCCTGCCCGGCCCTGGCCCTCCCTCTCCACTGGGGAAGAGTCTCCAGCCAGCTGTGTTCCTTCTGCAGCCAGTGGCTTCCAGAGCCTCTCCCTGGGAAGGACCGTGGGCCTCAGCGGGGGTCAGCTTTGTGTCTGTTCCCAGCCCCTCTTTCCCAGAAAGTCCTGCCACAGCCCTAGGACCCTGCCTGATCCGATCAGAGTGGCCAAGGGGTACAGGGTCTTCACTGGCTGGTCTGAGCCATGAACTGTCCTTGAAACCAAGGGTGGGGACAGCCCTGCCCAAGTTACATGTCCTACAATTATGTGTGTTTGTGGAGGGTGGAATTTGTGCCTAAAAATCCTGCCGGTTCCTGTGAAAACAGTGGGGAAGGCATTACAGTTGCCTTGCATGGGCCTAGAGAGTCAGAGAGTGGCTCCGACCTCCTCAGGTCCCAGAATGGGGAGGGGGCAGCTTCCTGGGAGGCCATCTCTCAGTTCCCAGGGGACTTCTGCGGCTGTTTCCTGTGCCATGCCCCACCCCACCGGCACGGGCCAGTGTGGAGGCTAAGGCCCCAGCTCCCAACCCACTCACGGCTGTTCTCTGGGCCCAGGGAGGCGCTGCCCACAGCCCAGCCCTCATCATCTCAAGACTTGGGTTCTGACAGAAAAGAAGTGCATGGGACAGTCCAGGAGGAAGGCCAAGAGGCAAACGGACAAGGCTGGGGAGTGTGGCTACACTGGGTGAGGGGGCACCGCAGGGCTGAGCGCACTTGGGCTGTGGTAGGGTGCTGGGCAGGGGAGCATGGGATCGGATTTGGACTTGAGGAATCACCCATGGTGCTGTGTGGACCAGGACAGAGGGCCTCTGGTGGAGGCAGAGGGGCTGGTCAGGAAGCTGGTGAGGTTGGAGGGATCAGGTCTGGGTAAGGAGGAGGGAAGGCTCCAGGGGGCTGGCCTGAGCCCCAGGGGGTGGGGGTGCTGCACCTGAGGTGGGGGGCACCAGAGGAGGACAGTCAGGAGAGAGATGCCTTGAGCTGCCTGCGTGGGACAGTCGGTTAAACGCCCGACGCTTGGTTTTGGCTCAGGTCCTGATCTCATGGGGGGTGGGATAGAGCCCTGCGTTGGGCCTCCGCGCTCAGCGGGAGTCTGCTTGGATACTCTCTCCCTCTGCCCCTTCCCCTGCTTGTGTGCTCACATGCTCCCTTGCTCGCTCGCTCTCTCAAACAAACAAAGCAACCAACAGAGAGAGAGATGTCTTTACCAAGTCAGGATGTCAGGACAGTTACTCAGAC